AAGCCTCCAGTCTGAGGAGAGAATCACAGCGTCTCATGATGAGTGTGTGAGTGTGCCTCAACAGAAACTCTCTCACACACACACACACACACCGGTCGATGTCCTCAGGCAGGTCTGTGAGTCTGTTGTTGCTGATGTCTAAGCACTTCAGGTTCTCCATGCGCAGAACACAGATGGATGCTGCGGGAAACTGGTTCTCCACACGTCCAAGTGCTTCAGTTTCCTCAGACTCCGCAGCTGAAAGAAGAACCGAAAAACATTTCCATTGAGTTATCGAAACTATATTTCAAAACATCGATTTAAAATGTTGTTGTGCTGATGACGTCACCAACCCTAGAATTTACATAAACCCCGCCCCCTGGAACGAGATTTATTAATAGAGTGCCGAAGTTACGACGTCACTCTGTAGGCCAAAACGCGAAAGTGAGTTAGCATTTTAGCACTACCGGTGTTCTGTCGATTTTTGCTGCCTTGTCGAAAAATGCTACCGTAGCGCGAATTGATCACAGAATGCCGATTAAAGTCGTATGAAATACAATTCTAAGTTATGAGTAGCTACTGTATACTGTAGACTACTGTTTTTATTTTTAAAACGGGTGTGTGAAAATTAAAAAAATTATCATAAAATATTCATCTTGACTTGTCAAAGTACACCTTTTCTTATAGTAACTGAAACTTTCATTATTCCTTTTCAGCCGGCTGACCGTACAAATATTCATATGGTAGTAAGCATTTTTAAAGGGAAATATACATTATAACAGGAAAAATGTACCTTTTGTAAAAAAATTAAAAAAAAAAAAAAAAAAAAAACTGTGAGTCTGCACATGCGCATAACCGGTAAGTAGGAAATCTCGATGGGTAGCATGAATTGTCAGAACACCGGTTCCCTCGCTCTAAAGCCTGTGGGATTTTTGAATGGGTTTTTTTTGCTAAATCCTAATTACAAAAGCCTCTAAATATTTTCAAGTTTTGATCTAGAACACACAGTTATAACCTGCTTGTGGTTTTTTTAAACTTTATTGTGTCTGATTGTGTTTTTCTTTTTAAATCTTTATATAGGCTTCAAAATGATACATTTTGAAATAACTTGTAAAGATTATCTTGATAGACAAAACGTGTAAGGGTCACAACTCTTTGTTAAACACAGATCTTATTTTTTTTTGCGATTTTCCAAAAGTCTATGGGGAAAATGCATTGCTTTTCGACCGAGGGAACCCATGCGCCGCTAGCTTCCGAGTTGTCCTACAAAGTGACGTCATCAATGACTAACTCCACATCAGATACATAAAATCGTCAACTAACATTCAGAAAAACTGGGGTATTTTGAGCTAAACTTCACACACACACTCTGGGGACATCAGAGACTTGTTTTACATCTTGTGAAAAGGGCATTATACCACTACTTTAACAGAAGGGTTAGCTGGGATAGACACAAATAACTGTAAAAGAAAGAATCTATATTAATGACAGAACTGCAGGATTGTACCTCGAAGGGAAGCTCAGACAGGCTTCTGTTTCCCGTCATCTCTAACCGTTCTAGATTCTCGCATTCTCCGAGTTCAGCTGGAATACTCTTCAGTTTATTATAATTCACATTTAATTCCCTCAGGTTGATCAGTTTCCCTGTGAAAGACGAGACGTTTGTGTGATTTCTACCGTGTGGAATGTTTATTTCGGTGTGAGATTCGAGGTTAGCGACAACATACGATTTCCACAGGAATCCTCGTCAATCCGTTCTTGGGAACGTCCAGAACACGCAGATCACGAACGCCTCGATGTACGCGGAATCTCGCGAATCTTCGTCGCGTGGATGTGCCATTCCCTCAGATACGTCATAAACTGGAGATCTTCAGGTAATTTCTGCAAATCGCAATCATAGCGAAGTCACGGAGAGCAAATGCGCTCGACAAACAAAAGCGTTTTCAGCGAGTTACCATCCATTTGTCTCCATTGAGCTCAAAAATGAACTTCTTGTTCTCGGCGTCAGTGTCTGGAGGAGGCAGAAGGTCAGAGGTCAGGGAAATATATTAAACTACAATATATTCAGAACATTTCTCTTTTAAATGTGTTACTAAATTAAATGTGTTTTTTAAACATTTAGAAAAACTTTCTGAGAACATTCAGAAATAATGATTCCATAACTTAAAGGGACGTCATAACCGTTGTGTAGTGTGTGTTGAGTGTGTAGTTGATCACATGACCGGTCCAGGTAACACTGCATACCGTTGTGTAGTGTGTGTTGAGTGTGTAATTGATCACATGATCGGTCCAGGTAACACTGCAGGGCCGAGACCTCAGCGCTCTTCAGATTCCGGCACGCGATGCGATACTGCCACTGCTGATTCACCCTGCAAATACACACCGGCTTCATATCAGTATGCTTTTTAAAGGGCTGCTGGTATAATGCCCCTTTTTACAAGATATAGAATGAGTCTCTGATGTCTCCAGAGTGTGTGTGTGTGTGTGTGTGTGTGAAGTTTCAACTAAAGATACCCCACAGAAAATTTTTATAGCTTATTAAAATTGTCCCTTTTTGAGGTTGAGCAAAAACATGTCGTTTTTTGTCCGTCCCTTTAAATGCAAATGAGCTGCTGCTCTCGGCACTGTGGGCGGAGCTTCAAGAGCTCGAGCTTCAGACTCACAAATGTGCTCGACTACCACGACTCAACACGGCTTGCGTGTTCCTGGGGGCGGAGTTATGTAAATTCTAGTGTTGGTGATGTCACTAACCCAGGAAGAAGCTCGTGTAGTTCCACCAGCCGTTTGTTGTAGTCCTTAAAAAACGATTTCTGTTAAATAGAATATTTCACTTTGCTTTGAACTTTGAGCGTTGTAACTTTGCAGATGTTGTTTATGCTCAAGCAACTAATCTGTGTGTGTGTGTGTGTGTGTGTGTTTAGATGTGGAGGGAATGGTCCTCACTTGGCCAGAGCACTTTGGCTGATGCGCTCCTCCTCCTTCCTCTGCCGCTGCTTCTGCTTCCTCACTCGTCCCTCCCACAGGTCTCGGATCAGCGAGAGGTCGTACACGGGAATGTCCACGCCGATCCGCTCTGCCTTCATGATGCTGAACAACACACACCGTGAGAAACAAAACACACACACACACATGTGATTGAACCAGTGCAGCGACATCCTCACATACAGCAGCTGACAGAAACACACACTCACTGAAACACTCACTCACTCACTCACTCACTCACTCACTGACTGACTCACACACTTACTCACTGACTGACTGACCCACTCACTCACTCACACACTCACTCACTGACTCACTCACTCACTCACTCACTGACTCACTCACTCACTCACTCACTCACTCTCTCACTCACTCACTCACTGACTCACTCACTCACTCACTGACTCACTCACTCACTGACTCACTCACTGACTCACACACTCACTCACTCACTGACTCACTCACTGACTGACTGACTCACACACTCACTCACTGACTGACTGACCCACTCACTCACACACTCACTCACTGACTCACTCACTCACTCACTCACTCACTCACTCACTCTCTCACTGACTCACTCACTCACTCACTCACTCACTGACTCACTCACTCACTCACTCACTGACTCACTCACTCACTGACTCACTCACTCACTCACTGACTCACTCACTCACTCACTGACTCACTCACTCACTGACTCACTCACTCACTGACTCACTCACTCACTCACTCTCTCACTGAGTCACTCACTCTCTCACTGACTCACTCACTCACTGACTCACTCTCTCACTGACTCACTCACTCACTGACTCACTCTCTCACTGACTCACTCACTCACTGACTCACTCACTCACTTACTCACTCACTCACTCACTCACTGACTCACTCACTCACTCTCTCACTGACTCACTCACTCACTCACTGACTCACTCCCTCACTCACTCACTGACTCACTCACTCACTGACTCACTCACTGACTCACTGACTCACTCACTCTCTCACTGACTCACTCACTCACTCACTGACTCACTCACTCACTCACTCACTCACTCACTCACTCACTCACTGACTCACTCACTGACTCACTCCCTCACTCACTCACTCACTGACTCACTCACTCACTGACTCACTCACTCACTCACTCACTCACTGACTCACTCACTCTCTCACTGACTCACTCACTCTCTCACTGACTCACTCACTCACTCACTGACTCACTCTCTCACTGACTCACTCACTCACTCACTCACTCACTCACACACTCACTCACTGACTCACTCACTCACTCACTGACTCACTCACTCACTGACTCACTCACTCACTCACTCACTCACTCACTGACTCACTGACTCACTCACTGACTCACTCACTCACTCACTCACTGACTCACTCACTCTCTCACTGACTCACTCACTCTCTCACTGACTCACTCACTCTCTCACTCACTCACTCACTCACTGACTCACTCTCTCACTGACTCACTCACTCACTCACTGACTCACTCACTCACTGACTCACTCACTCACTCACTGACTCACTCACTCACTCACTCACACACTCAATCACTCACACAATTAAAACTTAATATCTCATATCATTTAGTAAAAGTTTTGAAAAAAAAAATATTTGTGCTGGAAAACATGATCAGACACTGAGAAAGAATATACATAATCCAGTGTGGTGAAGTATAAACTGAACCTGTGATCACACACGCACACACGCACACACACACACACACACACACACACACACACAGCTTTAATCAGTTGTTTAGTGATAATGGAGTTCATGTAAAGCTTTCCCAGTGAACAGGAATGTCTGGCAAGATCCTCAAAGTTATGATCAAACACGATTCCTAACAGAATACTCTTAAAGTTATCCGCTCTTTAATAATCTTCTCAAAGCGTTAGCATAAAAACATTATTTACACATCGTTCATGGAACATTTTTTCTATCATGTTTTGAAAAGCAAAAATCATGACTTAAACAGTCAAAATTATACATAAAAATTCTGACAAAAAGATAAAAAATTATGAGTTATATTTTTATAAGACAAATTGAAACTATGTCAGACTGAGTCAATTATATGATATATATATGTATATCATGTTTTTCAAATGTTGCCACTTAACATTTAGAGAACATTTCCAACGTGACATTCCATAATGTTTGAAGATTGATACAATATTTCTTTATAACCAACAATTTAAAAAAATAAATAAATAAAAAACTGGATGTTTTGAATCTTCAGAAAACTTTCAGAAATAACATTTTTATAACTTAATCCGTTCTCAGGTCATCTGTTGTGCGGCAGGAGTCTGAGGTGTTGGTGTGTGTGTGTGTGGACAGTGTGACTCAGCAACAGTCTGTTTGACCTCTAACCTTTGAAGAGTCACCCAGAGTACAGCACAACCGCATATTCACAGCACGTCTAACTAACAGAAATATGTCATTAATAAGAGCATAATAAACGTGTTAATAAGTGTGTGTGAATACCTGCGACTCCTCTGTGCTTCTGTGCGTCAGCTTCAGCTGCTTGTTTACCGGCGTCTGAATTTAGATTTGTGTTTGGACACGAGTCTATTTATATTTCACTGGGTGTGATCTGATGCCTCGTGTCTCAGTCCACACACTCATCCGTACATGACACGCATTTTATATGCTTTATTTCATTCCACAATACAAGTTAATTTAATTTGGAATCAAAGGTAACGCTGCTATCTCTGGCTTTACTTCGGATTAATTGATGGCGGTGGACTTTTATTCTGTGTGTGATGTTCACACGAATGAAATCTGAACAAAAAAAAAAAAAAAAAGAAAATCGCATTCATGATGATTAATGCCGATTTTATTTCCGTTAGACGCTGATGCGTTAAAGAGGAGGAGCTCCCCTGTTCCAAGATGGCGGCTCTATTGACGCATTCGCCCCCAAGGGGGTAATCCATCCACCGGAAGTTGAAGCCTCGCGGGAGCTGCCATCTTGTAGCAGAACTTCACTTGCGTTAGCATTCCCATTGACTCCCATTCATTTTGGCGTCACTTTGACAGCGAATAACTTTACATCTGAGGCGTTTGAAGACCCCATTAGTCCTTTATTTATTTCTAAAGAAACACGACAATGTATAAAATGCTCCATTAACTTGTAGCTTATGTTATGGCCCCGTAGAAGCAGTTTTAGTGAAAGTAGGCTAACGATTGCGTCATACCCACACGACTCTCAGAGATTACCGTATGTACAGGAGAAGAAGCTCGCGCGCAATCGGGGAAACGTGGAGGCAAAATGTCTATGATTCGTTCCAATGAACTGCCGTAGCCAAGGCGACATCTAGTGTGTATATCTATGTGTTTAAATCAGCAGTGAGGTCCACCAGCCTGTCATGCCCGGTCCTTTCAGTGATGAGCAACTGTTTCTAATGTGGGATACTGACTGCAGGTGTGACACACACACACACACACATGAATCCAGAGCTCGAAGCCCTTCCCCCGGACAGCACGCCAAATATGCATTAAATTTCTCCCTCTGATTTTTTGTAAGTGTGTGAACTAGTGAAATGAGATTACACACAGTGTGACCAGCAGAGCGCAGGCTCGGTCCAGTTACACACGGCTCAGCGACAAGTCATCATCATTTTGATCAGCAGTATTATTACTGTTCATTGAAATCAATATTTTCTTCATTTTCTTTTAGTTTAACTTGATTTACTAAAATAACTTAATAAATAAACTATAATAAAAATGACAAAAACACTATATCAGTTATTAATAACACTGATCATTACATCAACTTAATATTGTGTTTTAACAGATATTTAGTGGATTTATTTTTAAGTTGTACTAACTTAATGATATTATCTTTATAATTAAAAAAATTGGCCATTCTACGGAAGAGGATTAGGGCCAAGCGATGATAAAAAAAAATGAAACCATCTTGAGATTAAAGTCATTGTAATGCGAAATTAAACTCTAAATTTCGAGATAAATAAAACCGAAATACAATCTTGAGAATGAACTCATTAAATATTGAGAATAAAGTCGAGTTTATTCTTACGATTATTTCGACTTTTTTCTCAAAATATGTTGAAGATATTGTGCTGAAAACTATTGATTTCTAAGTGAAATACATCAGATTAATAGTTTAAAATTAGTTAAGCAACTTAATATTTGTGAGTAATCGACAAAAAATTAGTTTATGCTACAAATGATTGTTAAACCTCAAACTCAAAGTAGTTTGTTGGTTAAACATAGTTTTATTATTGTTTTTTTAATGTATGCAAACTGTTGTTTTTTAATTTAGCCAAAACATTATTTAATTAGAGTAAAGATTCATTGGTTCAATCTAGAACTCTGGGGTTCTTGACTCGTTTTTACCAAATGTCGCTTTTCCCCTGTTTTGTGTTTAAGGACTTTTATTGTGTTTATGCCTTCGCTTCCTGTGTCTGTTTGTAGTCCTGTTGTTGATCTGTTGTTCTGCTGTTTCCCTGTTATCTCGTAAGCTTCTCTGTGTGTAAATGTTTCAGTCACGTTCATGTTGGCTTTCTTCCTCTCTATGAGGATTACCCTTTTCTTTCTTTAATAAATACAATTTGTTGTGAATAGTGAATAAGGAATTGCTAAATAAGGAAAGATTATTGAATTTATTGTAGTTATTATTTAAATGTATTTTCTATTGACAAAGTATGTTTATACAAGATGTGGGATGAAATGATCCTGAAAGGTTCTGTATTTGTCATATAGGCTAGTTCCTGTTCTTCTGCACTCAAAAAACAAAAAAAGGTCCAAAAGCTGACGCTGGGGTGATCCCTCAATAGGTTCAGCGCTGTACCTGAAGAGTCTATATTAGTACCTCAAAGATGCACTCTAAAAAAATCTTGGGTTATTTTTTTCCATGCACCCAAATCCTGGGTTGAGCCTTTTGGGTCAGTTGTTTGGGTTATTTTCCCAGTGTTTGGTTATAGTTTCACTTGAATTACTTCTCACTGTAAAAAAATATTTTCATGATTTGTAAGCACAACATTTTTCCTTTTGTCAAATCAACTTGAATAATTTATAATATTTTGAGTTTCTGATGATTAAATCAATTTCCTTCATTGTTTCAAGCCTTGTGATTATTATGGCTTATAGATATGAAAACCTTTTCACTATATTATAATTTTGAATTTGGGATTATAACAAATAAAGGCTTGAAATATCTCACTTTGCATGTAATGAGTCTATATAATATATTAGTTTCACCTTTTAAGCTTTTGTCCGATATTCTAATTTTTCGAGTTTCTTCTGTATACCGGCACCAAAAGCGTACATTTGACATATATTAGAACATTATGACAGCTTTTGTACCTTTTCTTCTCTCTCTCTCAGTGAGGGAAACACAATGATCTGGGTGAATGTCAGCGGATCTGCTGTCACTTCATCTGATATCTGTTAACTTGTTAAAGCTGGCGAGTGTGTGTGTTTGTGTGTGTTGTTTAATCTCATCTCCATGTCAGTGACTCCGGCTTCGGCCAAGAGCCAATAAACTCATCCGGCCTTTCTCTAAACTCTACAGCAAGCTTACATTTGTTAACATCAACTCGCATATACTTCTTAATAGAGCCAGGCCGATATTAGGCATTTTCCAAACTATCGGTATCGACAGTTATAATGGCCGATAAATGAATATTTCAAAATAAAAATAAAAACGTACGAAACACACTTGAACCAGGTCATGAGTGTTGGAGTTGTATAGTTTGTCCACCAGAGGGCGCTCAGTCATCAGTCTGTTCTGTTGTGACAATAAAAGAAACAAGTTTCTTTATAAAATGTATTAGTTAAAACTCATAAATAACTAATGTTAGGGAAATCTGTTCATTTTTTGTTGTGCGTTTCGATATATCGGATTTTAAAACCAACAAATATTTGTATCGGTATCGGCCTTCAAAATCCTTCATCGGTCGGCCTCTACTTCTTAATGCATTTACTTATTTTAGGTGATGATCATTTCAATATTGCAAAAATCAAAAATTTTATCTGTTGTTGTTATTATTAAATTGACATGAACTTTGTAAGTCATAGAAGCGATTAATAATGCATGAATGTAAATAGTTGGTCTCACTGCACATTTTAAAACAACATAATTTGATATTTCTGAATAAAGAACAGTTTGAAAATTATATTATTGTAGTAAATGTATTGAAATTCAGACATTGAAGCATACGCTCAGATTCCCTCGATGTTAACCTCATTTTGACCCGGAGAGGATTTTCTTTTTCCTGAAAATGCTAGTTAATATTTTTGCATTGGACTAAAACTTACTTTGCTCACACATATAACTTTTGTATTTTTTTGTTTTTTTTTACCTTTTTACAAAAATAACCCGCTTACAAAAAAAAAAACACCTAAATCTCTCAAAATGCTGTTCTATCATCAAATATTTTTTTTACCAGCCCGTGTTCTTTCAGTCAGCACAGGTTCTGTATGGATGTTTGGGTCGGATTGATCGTGGACCTCACTGATGATCTGAGCTCATGCTTCTCATGAATTGACATTTGCATCACACTAACTCTCTCATGAGCTTACATCAAGTGTGTGTGTGTGTGTGTGTGTGTGTGTTTGATATCCTCGATGCAGGGTCAGAAAACATCCATCCAGCAAAGGTTATTTTAAAACAATGACTCCATGAGTCTGTGCAGCTGCGACTGCTGTCTTAAGCAGCATTAGTGTCTTCTATCACAACGACACACCGCCGAGACGCAAATAGAGCTAAGACCTCGAGATCAGGACAAATCACGCCCAGAAGACATGAAGTGTCACACTTGTGGTCGGATTTGTGTCGCGCCCAAATTTTCCAGATACATTTGGCCTTGTGTAAAAGGGCAACGAAGCGAGCGGGTGTTAATGTGCTGTAATGTGCAGAACAATACATCAGATCCACAGCCATCGCCGTTCATATCTGTTCATTTACAGACTCTTCTCAGCGGACAGGAACGTTATGAACAAAAATAGGCCTTTAATAATGTTCTCAAAACATCAGCGCAACAATATTATGCATTGATACGTTTATATTGTTACTATGTTACGAACGCTCAGAGAACATTCAAAAGTAGCGTTCCCATAATGTGCGAAGAATGAGGAAATTGAGTGTTTTAAACATTCAGAAACGATATTTTTGTTCCCTATCAATGCTATTACGGTACGAAGTCGTATGTGGGAACTCCTCCCCTTCTTCACTTCTGCTGAAATCTTATAGGCTAACGCCAGCCGGGCTGGCCAATTGACGTAAAATATGCAAATACTGAAACACCGTGTCAATTTCCTTCAGAATCTCGCTCAAATTGTGTGCTAGAAAGCTGATACTCCAAACTATTAGTATTAGTATCTTGCATATTTGACAGTTTAAGCGCAATACGACGTGAAAGAGAACTTAGTGTAATACTCACGTGACGCTCCGTCGGATATCCAGCTTTCTGCGCACATGATTCGTGTGTGTGTGCTCAGAAAACCATATTTCACAAGTTTACACTGATGTGACTTTAAAACGCATGCAGATAATCAATAATCATGATGATGAAGAACTGCAACGTCACCTGAGCACCATAGAAATTTTCGGCAGAGTATTTGAGGCACGAGCTGTACAGGCTCCGCCCTCTTCTGGAAAGGGGGCGGAGCAACATATAATTTGCATTTAAAGACACATGCGCGAAAACCGCATGTTTTTCCTTCCTCTGAAAAATGTCCATTTATAACGGGGTGTAACAACTGATCTCTGGGGTATTTTGAGCTGAGACGTCAAACACACATTCTGGGACTCCTCAGAACTTGGTAAAAGGGCCATAATAGGTCCCCTTTAAACACCTGATAATCTGGATGAAATTTCAATCAGATTGAAAGATAATCCAGGAAAAAACGGGTTAAAAATAACTCACACACGTGTGCAGTGCCATAATGCTTATGTTTAACCCTCTGGGGTTGTTCGGCCCAAATGGACCCGAAGAATTAATTGGTTTTTTTTTTAATCAGAGCTTCCTCGGATCGGTCCGAAATTTGGTGACTTTGTTGGTATTTGGTATTTGAAAACCCACAAAAAAAAATTGTGGAGAGGATGTGAATAGTGTAAGTGGTTGTAAAAAAAATAGTCACACTTGGGGTGTTCGGGTCCAAATGGACCCGCATGGAAAATAAAAGGGAAATTGGCAAAAATGTGAAAATACTGAGTTTTTTTTGTGCGTACAATCTACAAATCAGCCACGATCTTGAAAAAAAGCACACAACAGTGAAGGGGTGAATCTATAAAACATGAAAAGTGCAAAACAGACACATCACACACACACACACACCAAAAAATTCAGATTATACTGTACATGTGTTTTGCATTTTTAAAATGCTCAGTTTGTCCACCAGATGGCACCCATCTCATTTCAAAAATTTATTTTATGAGGCCTAGGCTTGACTCTAAAATGAAATACAGCTTAAAAAAAAAAAAATTCTATTGTGTTCAATTGTGGGGAATTTTGTCATAATTTATGCATTAATACTAATTATAAAAAAAAAATGATTTTTGAAATTTTCTCAAAACACCAAAAAAGAAAAGAAAAAAATATTATAAAAAACGAGTAAAAAAAAAAAATCATGATTTTTTTTTTTTTTTTAAATGTGAATCCCGCCCTTTTAGGTCCATTTGGACCCGAACACCCCGAGTGTGACTCTGAAACGAACAACCCCAGAGGGTTAAGGACATTTTATGTCGTAAGCGTTTATTTTTTTACGCCTTAAAAATGTGGGCGGGGCTTGATTGTGTCTGTGGGGAATTGATTGGATGTTTGTGGTTTGCTATTGGCTGATCTCGTGTGAGTGACAGGTCATAGCCCCGCCCGCATCATCAGAGAAGAGGAACTGATTCTGATTCCAGATTACTAACGCTATAATGATGCGCCGCACACACATAAGTCATTTAGAACAAACCCTGCAATTTTCTACACTAAAAGGTCAATTTTAATGAGCTGCTGGTGGATGCACAGATGCGAGAGATGTTCCTCTGAACACGCAAGTGCAGATTGAGCCGTGACACACGTGTTTTAATGCGTCTGTCACTTGATGATTAGACGGGGTTATTTTAGATGCAATGGTGCTTTACAACATATGCGAGATGTTTTCCACCTTAAAAATACATTCTTCATGTAATGGATGCAGGCGGATATCAGGTGTGAACTCCCGAGTGTGACACTGTGAGTGTGTGTGTGTTGCTGAGATGTGAACATGATACTGTCATCAGGTGTTTGCAGTGATAAGTTCATTAGTGTTCACGGTTTTGTTTGTCCATCGACAGCGAGGAGAGAAAGGCCGAGCGATCTGAAATAAACTCGAGGAGGAGCTCGGACACACACGCCGTTACAGACGCTGATGATGACACGTATAAAGACACACACACACACACACACCGCGTCGTCGTGCTGAACAGCTCAATCACAGGTCACTACACACGACACTCACTTCAGTTTATTCTTTCCTTTGGAGACGTGACCTTTGACCTCTGATGATGATGATGATGTTGTTCTCTCCACAGGACATGAGTTCTGCTCTCATTCATGACAAACTCTTCATCAAGACGTTCTGGGAGCAGAAGATCGTCAATCACGGTCACATGAGAGACGTGGAGGAAGACAGGATGAAGAAGAGCGCTCTCACCAAGTAAGTCACACACACACCACCTGCGCTTTCATCACCATACACTCTTACTGATGTTGTCTTTCCTTCAAAGCACTGTTGTGTTAATACAGGCAATTCTGCATATATTAAAGCACTGGACTGAACAATATAATACAGGTGAACCTCGCAAAATTAGAGAATATGGTGCAAAAGTTCAGTAATTCAACTTAAAAGGTGACACTAATATATTATATAGACTCATTACATGCAAAGTGAGATATTTCAAGCCTTTATTTGTTCTAATTGTGATGATTATGGCTTACAGATATGAAAACCTTTTCACAATATACTAATTTTTAATTTGGTTTAAGTCATAATCATCACAATTATAACACATAAAGGCTTGAAATATCTCACTTTGCATGTAATGAGTCTATATAATATATTAGTTTCACCTTTTAAGTTGAATTACTGAACTTTTGCACCATATTCATATTTATACAGGTGAGTTTCACCTGTATAATATATCCTGAATAATTAAAAAATAAAGAAAATAAACTTTTCAAACCCAATATATATTTTTTTAATGCTTGGCAATGATTAATCACGTTCAAAATAATTTTGTATATATACACATGCATGTATATATTCAAGAAATATGTGCATGCTTATTTTGTATATATATTTATACATAGAAATATATATTTTATATTCTTAAATATATACATGCATGTTTGTGTATTTATATATACAAAATAATGAAACACACACATATTATGTAAACACACACTTTTATTTTGAATGCGATTAATCGTTGCTCAGCTAAAAAAAATGTTCTGCTTTATTATTATTATAATACACATGAAGCGGGTGTGAAGGGATATTGGGTGTGTGTTTCTGAGCTGATATTTAATATCCCGCGTCCTGCTGACCACAGAAGATTATCAGCCTCCAATCAATAATCCAGGACAGCTGTGCAAATACAATATTATAAACACTCGTTCCCACATACAGTGTATTGAGAGATTTATTTAAGATAAGCTTCAAATAAAAAGAGAAAATAATTAATACATCTATTCACTGCAGTTCAAAAATGCAAGATTTAATTCATCATGGATGCATTAAATTGACCAAAAGTGACATTTTATAATGTTACAAAAGATTCTATTCCAAATAAACGCTGTTCTTTAGAACTTTCTATTCGTCAAAGAATCCAGAAAAATAAAATGTATCAGTTTCCACAAATATATGAACATTGATGATAATCATTTTTTTTTTTGTTCTCGATCTTTTATGTAGAGTTATAGTAGTGTATCTTTATAAATAAAAGTACAGCACTCATCCGAAATAACATTATAAATGTCTTTAATGTCACTTTTGATCAATTGAATGCATCCTTAATGAATAAAAGGATTGGTTTCTTTTATTTCTTTCCCCCAATAAATAAAATAAAAATTCTCACCGACCCCAAACTTTTGAACGGTAGTGTTTAATATTACAAAATCTTTCTATTCATCAAAGAATCCTGCAATAAAAATTTAAATAACAGTTTTGAACACTGATTGAACACTGAACAATCCTGTACATTGTATTGTTCTAATGCAAATCAGCTGTTTTCTATGTAAATATACAGTAAATTGTAATTTATTTCTGTGTTCAAAGCTGAATTTTCAGCATCATTACTCCAGTCTTCAGTGTCACATGATCCTTCAGAAATCTTAAATTCAGATTATTATCTATGTTGAAAAGAGTTCATGTTTTTAGTGGAAACTAGTACATTTTATTTTTCAGGATTCTTTGATTAGAAAGTTCATAAGAACAGCATTAATTTGTAATAGAATCGTTTGTAACAATTTGATCAGTTTAATCGTCCTTGATGAATAAAAATATTGTTTTAAAGTAAACATACCCCTAACTTACACAGAAAATATGAACTGTTTTCAACATTGATAAGAATGTTTCTTGATCATCAGATCCTCATATTAGAGTGATTTCTGAAGGATCATGTGACACTGAAGACTGGAGTAATGATGCTGGAAATCACAGGAATAAATTACACTTTACTGTATATTCACATAGAAAACAGATGATTTACATTATAATAATATTTCACTGTTTTACTGTATTTATGATTTAATAAACGTAGCATTAGTGAGCAGAAGTCTCACTGGTGAATATGCTTGAAATAAACTGTTTTCTGCACAGTTGAATATGATGAACATGATCAACAGGACGTCCCGTGTGTTTCAGGCTGCGTGACGAGTGGCTCGAGAGACTGGAGGCTCGGACCAAACATCTGAAGAACTTCAGTAACCGCGAGACGAACTCGAGCGCCGCATGACGAGGAGCTCACACTGATCTGATGCCACAATAAACACACACACACACACACTCCTGAGCTGTGTTCGATTCTCTTTATTTCACACTCACAAACGACAGATGGAAATATTCAGGCTCTGAACAGGTGCAGTGAAGGACGCCCAAACACTGATCCGACACACACACACACACGAGTATTTCAAGCTCTGTCAGCGCTCGTTTAAACTCAATCCATCATGAGTGATTAACAAAACTCTGTCTCCTGAAAGTAAAAGATCAAAAAACAAAAATCTGATGTTTAAACGAAAGTGTTTATCATTGAAAGCGTCCGTCTGGAGTCCGTCAACGGAGAAACAAAATGGAGGCGCGATGCGGTGACCCTCCTCATCCTCTACTTCTTCTTCTTCTTCCCTTTCTTCCCCCCCTCCCCCGGCTGGGCTCCGGCCTCGGCTCCGCCGCTCTTCTGCGTTCGGCTCTTCAGTTTCGGGATCATCTCCGCCGCGTAAAACATCACGTCCTTTCCTGGAGGCAGAGAGAAGAGTGATGTCATTTCCTCTCGTTATACGCTGAATTTAACGGCGGAATATTGTTTTTATTTCTAGTGGAGAAAACACACATCTCAGTGCTTAATACACACGAGTCTGTAGATTTCAATCTTTAAAGGCGGTGAGTTTGAAGTGTGTGTGTGTGTGTGTGTGTGTGAGAGAGAGAGAGAGAGAGAGACAGAGTCTATATGTGAGAGAGGGAGTGTGTGAACTGATGATGATGGAAACACTTTAAAATGATTTACTGGACGCGAACTTCTCCTGGCAGAGACTTCCGTCCTCGAGTTTGATCTGGATGCGAACTCTCCCTCTGAACTGCACATCTCGGTTCCACTCGCGCGGATACATCTTGTTCTGCGAGAGAAACACTGATGATGTCATGACTCATACAGGAGAATCCACACTGATGACGTCATGAGAATCTGCTCGTTTGAGTGACAGACGAACCTCCACCAGAACATTGAGTCCAGCGGCGACCAGAACATCTCGGATCTCAGTGCAGGACGGGTTCTCCACAGCCTGAGGAACACACACACACACACACACACACACACACACACACACACACACACACACATCAACACTAGCGAGCAATGCTGTCAGTCTCTCTCTCTCTCACACACACACACACACTCACCTTCTCTGCAGCGATTCTTCTGCCTTCTGCTAATGTCTTTTTACTGTTGATGTACGATGGATAAATACACATAAACCTGGAGGATAAACACTGATTAAAGATCAACGTGTAAATATGCTAGACTACTCACTCTCATTGTGTGTGTGTGTGTGTGTGTGTGTGTGTGTATACATAAATTCACTCCCACACTCTCTGTTTCTCACTCGCGCGCACACACTCACATTTACACAAACACATTCTCTGTCTCTCTCTCTTTTATTAGTCACTCACTCATACACTCTCTCTCTCAGTTTAACAGATGTGACACTAACCGCTCTTTATCCGCCGGGTTCGTCGTTAGATACGCCATGTCTCCAGATTCTCCTCAGTGTATTCCCTGTTTATAAAGTACACGTTTGATTCCTAACGAGTGGAAGTGAAGCGCTGATGAGTGTTTCTGTGTGTACACGACACATCCGGCAGAGTGGGCGTGTTCTCCCTCTCGTCTTCAGTGTTTCCGTTATGGCGTCACTCACAGCGCCGCCTGTTGGCCCAGAGAGAGAGCTAGCTATTAGCATGTTAGCATGTTGAATGTTTACTTTGAGCGCGATCACAAAACTCGATAACATGTTTTTAAAGATCATGAAATATGTCTCAGGAAATGAAGGTGAGTTAAAGAGTAAGTGATTGTTAATGTGATATATCGTTTTCACAAACCTGAAAGTTAACTAGCAAAATTTTATCTGTGTATTATTCCTATGTGTAACTAACTACACGCGTTTTGTGTAGGTCTGTATTTACTACCAGTCAAACATTAGGATTTTTGTTCGTTTTAAATGTTTCTGGAAGAGTCTCTTCTGCTCTCCAAGGCTGTTTATTTGCTCAAAAATATAGTAAAAATAGTCACTGTTTTCTATGTGAGTATATAGTAAAGTGTAATTTATTCCTGTGATTTTCAGCATCATTACTCCAGTGTCACATGATCCTCCAGAAATCACTCTAATATGAGGATTACATGATCAAGAAACATTCTTATCAATGTTGAAAACAGTTCATATTTTCTGTGGAAGTTAGGGGTATGTTTACTTTAAAAAAAAAATACTTTTATTCATCAAGGACGCATTAAACTGATCAAATTGTTACGAACGATTCTATTTCAAATTAATGCTGTACTTATGAACTTTCTAATCATCAAATAATCCTGAAAAAGAAAAATATGAACTCTTTTCAACATAGATAATAATCTGAATTGATGATTTCTGAAGGATCATGTGACACTGAAGACTGGAGTAATGATGCTGAAAATCACAGGAATAAATTACACTTTACTGTATATTTACATAGGAAACAGCTGATTTGCATTACAATAATATTAACTGTTTTTACAGTATTTTTGCACAGCCTTGTTGAGCAGAAGAGACTCTTTCACACACATATAAAGTGTACATAAAGACGAGTTGTGTGTGTTGTCAGGAGGATGTGAGTGTGTATTTCCGTCCGCTGCTGGAGCTCAGAGACGTCGTGCTCCTCACACAGAGAGTTCTCCAGGACTTTCCCAACACAATCCTGCCTGAATTCAAACCCTGGTTTCCGTCAGCGTCAGACTCCCGAAAACCCATCAGACCCCGGAAACCTCCACCTCTGATCTCCTCCTCCGAGATCATCACACACCAGATCCCAAACGAGATCCCACACCAGATCCCAAACCAGATCACACACCAGATCCCAAACCAGATCCCACACCAGATCCCAAACGAGATCCCACACCAGATCCCAAACGAGATCACACACCAGATCCCAAACGAGATCCCACACCAGATCCCAAACGAGATCACACACCAGATCCTAAACGAGATCACACACCAGATCCCACACCAGATCCCAAACAAAATCCCACACCAGATCCCAAACGAGATCCCACACCAGATCCCAAACGAGATCACACACCAGATCCTAAACGAGATCCCACACCAGATCCCAAACGAGATCCCACACGAGATCCCACACCAGATCCCAAACGAGATCCCACACCAGATCCCAAACGAGATCACACACCAGATCCCACGGGAAGCTTCAGACTCCAGATCCCAGAGTAAACCCGTCCCGGATCCTCAGAGGTTCGAGCGCTCGTGGTGTGTGATCTCACACAGATCCGCTCCGCTCCGGATCCCACGCTCCTTCTCTCGTCCCTTCCGGCGGATCATCGAGGATCACGGGCTGGATCTGCGTCAGCGGGTGAAGTGGGTTGTGTGTGAGCGTAACTGTGGCTCTCGCGACATGGAGGATCTGTGGCGGGATCTGATCCGGGCCGTCCGGCGTTCCCGAATGCCCTCCTGCAACGCAAACTTCCAGCGAGCGCTGGCGCAGATCTGGCTTTACTGCGACGTCCGCTACTGCGAGGATATCGGGGACTTCCTGAAGCAGGAGTTCCAGCTCTGTGGGAAAATCACTCTGACGGTGCATAAACTCGGAGAATTAATTAAGCTATGAGGTTTTATTGACTTACTGGAAATGTGAACACATCTCGTATTTATAAATGGGCCATAAATTAATTGTTTGTTTTTATATGATATGATGCTCCTCCTGAAGCAGGAGTTCCAGTTCTCAGGGAAAATCACACTCACTGTGTATAAAGTTTTAACTTGGAGAATTAATTAAGTTTTTAATGACTTACTGAAAATGTGAAACAGAGTGAAAATATATCATATTTATTATTGGCAATAAATGAGTTGTTTGTTTTTATATGGTATGTATTTCACACCCATATTAAAATGTGCGGTGCGTTTCACTGTCGTCGTGGATCCATATATCTAATGTTTGACTAGCACTGATTACTCTGATGTTCTGTCAGTGTTTCTGCCTCGTTTTCCAGCACGAATATCTAAACATTCTTAAATCAAGACGCATTATACTGGAGAAGCAAAATGACAATAAGAGTGTTTCGATATTTGTGCCGGAAAACAAGACAGAAACAGTCCAGAGTAGACCTGCGTTATAGTGTGTGTGCAGCGTTTGTTTTCCAGATCTGGAGTGTGTTTCCCAAAACCAACCAAGGTTCCGTCGTACCCAATAGAGTTCAGTGGAAATAGCAATCCTATTTGTCTTGTCCACTGATGCTTTTGGGGAAACGCACCCCAGAACGATTCCTCGGATCATGTGATCAGACTCATTTTCATCTGATTAAGAGAAGAAACTCATTTCTCCATTGATTTTTGCTGCATCCAAATGGGTAAGTCATGATATTACTGTGCGATGTTTTTCATTTTAGAATGTGATTTCCACTTGCACTGGACTCAAGTAGCCTATTTTAAGCAGTTTAAGCCAGTTTATTAGACACAACAGTAAGCATCAGCCGAGCAATCAAATGAATAATCTGTGAACTAGCTTGATTTCATCATCATGATTCTTTTGAACTCCTATTGGCCAATACTCTGATTGATTGGTTGGTATCTTGTTGCTGTGAAACTCATGATCTTCATCTGTTCCAGGTGTGATGATGATTGTGTTGATTGCGACTGAACACTTTTTACACGTGATGGTGATCATGCGATTCATTTGCTTTATTTCTTCCAGCTGCTTTGAAGCATGTTTAATCTGCTCTTTATATTGCTCTAATATTCTGACAGTTCCAAACTAATCAGACTTCTAATGATGCCTGAATCATAATCATACACTGATCGCTCATTGGCCAGAGCAGAAATTAGCGTTTTCCTCCATTCTGGCACTGATGGCGTTTCGGTTCCCTATCGCCTTTGGCTTGGCTTGCTTTTTGCCTACTTAATATTGAACATTAAATTTAATATTCAGCAATATTATTGATCTCCTGCATTGACACTATTATACAAGAACTGAACTGAGCTGGACGATGACGTCACGGTTTGCTCCAGATGAGCGGCTATATATATGAACTAAATTAATAACTTTATTTACAACAAAAATGAACCACTGAACTTACAAGCTGACTGTGACGCTATTCTCTTCTAGATAAACTTTGTTGCATTATTCTTCTTTTTTCTCTGTAAAGCTGTTTTGAAACACTAAAACGCGCTGTGTAAATAAAGATGAGTTGATATGACTTTAAAATGTTGTAACTCGTGTGACGTATACGTTTATATCTTGGCATCAGCATTTCGGAATTAACCGTTAAAATGTTGAAATATTGATTCTCAGATAGCACACTTAGATCACGGTGACGTCATTTGATTTGCGTGTTTACATTTGGAAGAGTTTTCTCATCTGCAATACGTCTATATAGTCAGGTGTCAAATAGCCTATAGACGTTTAGAAGATGTCTTTAAGATGTAACGATTTAGAATGTATGTAAATTGACATCTTAAAGATGTATATCAAATGTTAGTAAACATGTTTCCAGAAGTGATCTTTAACAAACGTGTGCTATCTGGGACTGTTTTTCCCAGAATTTGATTATTTTGCTTTGTTCGGTCGACTAAACGATCTTTTAACAACATTCTTAAGTCGAACAGAAAAACTGAAACACTTTATACAATTTCATGTGTTAAAATTAGTGAAGTTAAGACGAACTAACAACGAACAACACTTCTACAGCATTTAATATTCATATGTTAACCTAAACATTTACAAATAGGCCATATTAAGAGATTGCATCAGTTTACGCATTAGCCTATTTTGATTAATTAGCATTAGCATTAAAGGCCATTGTTAGTTTATATAGGCTATTAAATGTTAGCAAATGAGATTTATTATTGTAAAGCGGCACCAAGAAATCATATTATTTTAAATTAGTGTTTAAAAGATGCAGTTTTTCCCAAACTCTTCTTAGATGGACGATAATAGATCAAACTCCCGTCGATTCGTTCAGTTCGACTGAATTCAACCACAAGTGAAATGGAAGGAAAGAGTCAAAGGAAGTGTTTTTCTGCAGTTTCATCTCGATGTTATCAGTGTTCCCCTAAACCTGTGAGAAACTGAGACAGAAACCACAGAAGCCCAGCGTTTCCAACAGCATGCGAGCATTCAGTCCATCAAACCGAGTGCGTCCGATTATCAGTTCAACTCTTAGTTTTCTTTTGGCTGTGGAGATTTTATTTTACAAACACTTCACACTTGTTCTTTGCAGATGAGAACATGTCCGGCAGAAGATCTGTGTGTGTGTTGATCTGTGTGTTCTGCATCTGTTGTGAGTAACCTTCTACACGTGTGTATTTCTTATTGTGTCTATTTTAGGTTACACTTTATTTTAAGGTGTCATTGTTGCAGAGTAATTATATTTAAGAACTGATTAATAATAATTAATTATTATTGGGTAAATTGGTGGTTTAGGGTAAATTGCATGTAATTATGCATAATTTACTGTTATTCTAAAACTGTAAAATAAAGTACCGCACTTTATAGGCTACAGAACAGATTGTTTCAAAGCAGAATAACAGAATCAATTCACTGCAAACCGATTCTTAAATCAAGACATTTACTTGAAGATTAAAATAAATAAAAAAATAATCAAAACTAAGTGACTATATGCTTAATATCTAACAAATAACCTGGGTTTAATTCCCTTTGAATTAAAATGTAAGCTATTTTTCCCCACTTCGATTAGTGAATGTGAAAGTAAGAAAATAATTTTTTTGCAGTGTGCACACTTATACTGTAAAGCATCTAGAAAATAGACAATGGTGTCATTAATTATAGCTTAAATCAGTTCAGTTTTGTTGGATTATTTTATTTTTGTTGATTCACAGGTGCTTTGAAGAGAAAGCCTGTTTTCAGCATTCAAGGTAAACTTCTGTTGTTGACACGCATGTGCATTAAAAACATTCTAGCACATGAAGTGTGTGAGTGAATGAGACTGTTTTCCAGAGCTCACGGTGACTGCGAGGGAACTGAAGGATTGTGGGAAGAATGTGTGTGTGATGTCCAGTGCCGACTGTCCCTCAGAATCAGATGTTCTCACTGCAACTCCTGGTGCGAGTGCTTTAATGAGCCTGACATGGGTTTATCCTCAGATCTGCGGCTGGTTCAGTTTTAATGTCCATCTTTGTTCTCTAGAGAGATTTGTGAACACGTCATGCCACTTTCTGTCCCATGAGGAGTCGATCACCTGCAGGTGGATTCAGATGAACGACGTCCGAACGGAAACCTTCATTTTCAGAAGGTAACAGTGTCAGAAACCTATAAAAGCTTGATTCCAGCATGGAATGAAAAATAGAGGTAATTGCAATTTTTATCTCACAATTTTGAAAGTTTTCTCGCAATTGAAGACATAGCCTATAAACTTGGAATTGCGAGATGTCACAATTCTGAAAAATAAAGTCACAGTTGCAATTCTGAGAGAATTGCAAAATATTCACAACTGGAAGTTTTAATCACAATTCTGTAAAACAAAGTTCAGTCGCAATCAATCCGTCACATGCCCGATCGCGGTGTGTTTTAAATGCGAGCCCGATCTCATGAAAGTTCGTATAGCACGAATGTCATTTCTTGTGGCATTTATACGCCAAAAACAGTTTTTGCGTGGATATGGAACGTGTTTTTCGCGTGCATATGATACGCAATTTTTAGCGTAGGCTATAATACGCACGAACTCCCCACCCCCCTCCCCCCTAAACCTAACCCAGGGTTTATACGCTAAAACCATTTTTGGCGTATAATGAGAAATTACATTCGTGGTATACGCATCAGACTGTGTTGTGTCTGCGCTATTCTCCGACATGCCTGCTCGCGATGTGTTTTAAATGCGTGTCCCTGCAATTCTCCGACATGCCTGCTCGAGGTGTGTTTTAAATGCGTGACCGCGCTATTCTCTCGCTCGCGATGTGTTTTAAATGCGTGTCCACGCAATTCTCCGACATCTGCTTGCGGTGTGTTTTAAATGCGTGTCTGCACTATTCTCCGACATGCCCGATCGCGGTGTGTTTTAAATGCGTGACCGCGCTATTCTCCGATCTTGCTCGCTCGAGGTGTGTTTTAAATGCGTGTCCACGCAATTCTCCAACATGCCTGCTCGAGGTGTGTTTCTAATGCGTGTCAGCGCTTTCAAAGAAAGATATAAAATCACAATTGAGAGTTATAAAGTCAAAATTCAGAGAAATATTCAGAATTGCAGGATATAAAATCACAATTGCCAGTTATAAAGTCAAATTCGACAAATAATGTTGCAATTCTTAAAAACAAAGTCGTGATGTTGCAAAACAAATTAGCAAGTGTGGCTTTTTTTCCCGCAAATTGTGAGTTTATTGGATATCTCTTATAACTCACAATCACAAGTTTATACAGTAAATCAGACTTAGATAAAAAGTTGCAATTACCATTTTTCATTTTTTTTTAAATCCTTTGGCAAAATCAAGCTTCCATAGAAACCTCCATTAGAGCATCTGAAAATAAACTAATCCGTCTTCATACGAACTGGCATGATGATATTGTTTTTTTTGTTTTATAGAACTGACATCAACTGTCCTTCCATTTTACATTTATATTCACATTTCAATTTAACCATCAAGTCAAAGAGCATCGTCAGCCAGAAAGAGTGGTTCTCTGATGTCTATCCAGTGATCATTAAGGAAATCGGTAAGATAAGATGACAGCAGGGGTGTAGAAAGTAGACATTGTATGAAAGTTAAAATACAGATACTTAGCTTTATTTATACAGTGCTTTAAACAACACAGGTTGTTTCAAAGTAGCTTCACAGTATTAACAATTTCTGCAGTAAAGCAGCTCTAAAGAAGTCAAGAGTCATTATTCAGATCAATTCAGTTCGGTGTTGATTCAGTTCAGTTAAACAACGGTTAATGTTGCAAAATCAATTATGAAACAAAGT